AAAGATGCTTCACTGTGGGTGTGTCACTATTGTGTGCCCCTATAGTGAACTTGATCGAGCCTACAGGGTCTGAGTACAGAAGGCTCTGAGGCACACAAAGACCCCCATAAAATGAGAAGATGGGTTCTAAAAGAGGGGCTGGGCCCTGGGAAGACTTCCTTCCAACAATGTCGTCATCCCCAGAAGGGCGTGCTTGTAGTATAATGGCTCTAGCTACAAATTCTATTAACTCTGATAGTTGTTCTGAGTGAATGGATAATGCATTTAGCAGAAATAGACCCAATCAATTTATATGAAACACATAGAACTTTCTCATTGGAATTGGCATCTGTTCTTGAATCATAGAAGCATGTGTGGAGATAGGCAGTCTGTCACCATGACTTCTGGGCACATTAGCCAAGCTATGGCTTAACTGGAGAGAAGGATCAAAGAAAGCTTACTCCATATTGCCTTAGCCCCAAGTGTGTGTGTGTGTGTGTGTGTGTGTGTTTGTGCAGATGTTAGTGCACATGTGTGTGCATAAGTGTGGAAGCCAGAGGCCAACATGTTTCTCAGATGCCATTCATCTTGTTTCTTGAGACAGGGTCTCTAATTTGCCTGGAGTTCACTGATTTGATTGGCTGGCTAGCTAGTTAGCTCCATACCTCCCCAGTCCTGGGGTTACAAGTGTGCCTAGCTTCTGAAAATGTGGGTTCTGGAGATTGAACTCAGATTCTCAAGCTTCTGTGGTTAGCTCTTTGCCGAGTCATCTCTTCAGTCCCTCAGACCAGGACTTCTTAGAAACAGTGGGCTAGAATTCCTAGAAATGGTAGGTACCTGTTCCTGCCTGTGTTCACACCAGCCTCTCCCATAAGAGTCATCCCTGCGTGTTTGCTGGCATGCAGAGACAAGGCCCTGTGAAGCTGGACCACCCTAGGATCCCTAGGATCATGGCTAGTGTGAATTGGCCAGGACATAGTTCTGACTTCTAGGCTTGAGATCTTTTCAGGGCTGTATAAATGTGAATATATATATATATTCATCATCATCATCAGTGTGTGTGTGTGTGTGTGTGTGTTTGTGTGTGTGTGTGTGTATACACCCAGGCCATGGTGCTTGTGTGCAGGTCAGAGGTTAACTTTCAGGCATCCGTTCTCTTCTTCCATCCTGGGTTCCAGGGATCAAACAGGTCACCAGTCACCTCACTGGCCCAGGGTCTACACAGTTTTGTTTTTCTCCCTCTTTGTTCAAGATGCATATTTGGAAATGGTAAACCAACCCAGGGATGGATTTGGAAGAGGCAGGGTTGTGATTCCTCCTCTCCCTCCCTTCCCCCTTCCTTCTTTCCTCCCCCCTCCCCCTCCCTCCCTTGCTTTCTTTTTGTCAAGATTCCAAAATTGTGGCATTTATTGTTTCCCTTGGTCCTACCTATGCCACATTTGAGCCCATAATGGGGGGGGGTACAGGGCCCTGGAGCTTTCAAATCCTCAACTAAACTCTTTAGGGAGGATGACTGGTGGAGCCTGATTGTACCTGCTCAGAGGCAACATCACATGCTATCATGGGGACAAAGACAGAGACTGAAGTGGAGACAGAGACTGAAGTGGAGACAGAGACAGGGAGGTGGAGAGTTAGGACTGGAGGGAGAGGGAGAGAGAAGAGCCTAGCCCTAATCGCATTAGCCCGACCATTTGGTTAGTGTAATTGCATGTGCGAAGCTGACAAACGTAATTTCCCGGGACTTAATACTTGCCCCATTTTCTCCTCCAGCTTCTTCATCTGATTAGCTAAAGTGACTCAGAGGCTTCCGAGAAGGCCACGTGTACCACCTGGTCAGGCTTTTCCTTGGTCCCTGGGCTGGAGGCTTCCCTGATCACCCACACCCCTGGAGTGAGCCCGAAAGGCTTGGGAGGGTGGGACTCAAGGAGTTGGGGATCATTGGTGGTAATAGTTTTCTCAAGGCCCGGCTTCATTTGGCTTTTGTGTTTTCAGTCACTTCTATGCTGACTGCCTGGAGGAGAGCTGAAATGCCACCCACCCCTGTTCCGACTCAGTGCGAACTGACAGCGCTGAACTTTGGAGAGAAAATCTTATTATCTTGTCTCCTCGATTCTTTGTCAGAGGGTCGGGAGCTGACTGTTTAGGGCTGATGCAGGGGCTTTTCTCTGGGACTGTCCCCCTACCTCCTTCCCACACCACACTGCTCTCTGATTGGAGAGCTCTCTACCCACGGTGGGTGACAGAGCTTGTGAAAAGACTACAGACTTTGGGTTCACATCCTGGTCCGCCTTCCTAGCAGCCATGAACTCAAGTCTTCTTTTATTCCATCTTTCTTCTCCCTTCAATAGGAGTGAAAGTAGCTACCCCAGGCCAGTATGAGATCACATTGACTTGTGAAAAAGCCTGGCTTAGGGGCAGGCATTGTCTGATTTCCACTCTCTTCCCTTTCCCCTCTCCTCTCCTTTATCATTGCCCCTCTTTTCTGCCCTTCCCCCTTCCTCTCCTTTCTCTCCCTCTTCTGTCTTTCTCCTCGCAGGTCAATGCTCTGTGCTTGGATCTAGCCAGACACTGCAGACATGCCTTGCTGGCTCTGACCCTCCTACCCTGGATCTGAAGCTTCAGTGTGGCCAGTACTGCTCAGTCCACTTTCCTGGTATGGTGCACACAGTGATGGATACAGGGAGGTACCAGGACCGTGTGCGTGCTGGACGGGTACTGCTGGATGGGTGCTCCATCCTTGCATTTTCAGGATCCCCTTCCCCTACCCCCTTGCTCCAGTTAAATCATTGTCTACCTGCTCTCTCCCCTTCTAGACTATGAGTCCTTTGAGCTCCATCCTAGTGTTGTGCTATTCAGTGACTCTTAGCAGAGAATGGGTTGAGGAAGGAATGAGCAAGGACAGCATTTGGGTCTGGATGAAAGCCAGGTGAGTCCTGGGCTAGGTAGGACCCTCCCCCGACCATAAAGCTAAGTCCAGTGGCTCAGGAGACAAGCCTGTGAGAAGTGGCCTTCTTTCCCGAAATTGCTCCTTAAACAGACCCCCTTAGCACCTCCGGTACATGTCTAGATGTGAGATGGGGTTTGGGGACCCAAATCATGGTGGAGACAGATACCGTCTGCAATAGAGCATATGAGGGGAGGGTTGTGTGACCTGAGCCCCCTTTCTTTTGCCTTAAGCAGTTCCTAATGTGGCAATGAGTTCTTGGGGGAAAAATAACAGTTCCATATTTAGTGTCCTAGAGCATTCACAGGGAACATCAAGGCTACTCTCAGACATATTTGGTTCAGTACCTTCTGTTTCCCTCAGACCTGGAGCTGGTTTCTTGTTCTGAGGTAATGCTACTCACTAGGGTAGCCTGGTGTTTTAGTGGGGTCTACAGCTAAAACAGCCCTCTGGGAGCTGTTTGCTTCTAATTCTGTTTGGAGATGGTAGGAATCATGGTCCTTTCCCAGCTCCCATGTGATTTCATTTGTCTGAGTGGCCAGTGGGCCCTTTATTGAGTATCCTTCTGGGGACAGTGGGAGTTAGTTAAGTGGTAATGAGTCCAGACTCAGGCCAGGTAGCCCACTGTTCTCTAAATGGTGGTTGCAGTGTTGTGGCTGTTGGCTCAAGCTTCCAGATGCCCACCATCAGTAGATGCTTCTGGAGACCTGGTTTGGTGATGAGGTCAGGGTGGGGGTTGTCACTATGTTTAATTAGCACAGGGAATGAAAAGGGACTTGTGGTCCCCTTCTGAATTCATGGATTTGTAAGTTGCATAAGCTAATCACAAGGCAGTATACAAAGGTGAGTCCCCCGGACATGGGTGACAGGAAGGGACACTGAACAGATGAATGGGAAGGCTAGACATTTCTGTGAGTCATGGCAGCTGGCAGGCTATAGTGCTCTCTAGGCTAGGTCCCCAGGTAGACTGTGTGTGTGTGTGTGTGTGGGGGGGGGGATTAGAAAGTTCTGGGGGAGGGGCTTTGAAGGCGAAAGGAGACACCCTCCTCCCTTTCTCAGCTCAGTAGCTGGCCAGGTCAGCAGGAACCAGTAAGGGGTGAGAGCCAGTTTCAAGCAGCTTTTGTCTTTTTTTCAAAAACAAAGAGAAACTAAAATTTAGCTAATGAGCAGAGAGCTAACCAATTTGGTGTCAAAACTACATGCTTCTAATTATTCTGTACTTTGCATGGAATCAGGATTCTACCTTGTAAGTAGAAATTACAGATTTATCTTCTGTATGCCGTTATCCTAATCAAGATGTATACAGCAGGATGTGGTGGATTGTGTGCTGTAACTACTTCTCATGTGAGCAGTGCCAGTACCCATGCTCCAAAGCACTCAGGGGCTCTGGACACACTTAAAAACAAAGACCTGAGGGGTGTGTGTGTGTGTGTGTGTGTGTGTGTGTGTGTGTGTGTGTGTGTGTGTGTAGGCCAGAGGTTGATTTCAGATGACCTTATTTGTGTTTACAAGCTCTCTTACTTAATCTAGAGCTCACCATTCAGCAAGACTGGCTGCCCAGCAAGTTACAGGGACCTTCCTTTCTCCATCTCCCCAGTGTTAGGAATGCAGGTGTGAGTCACTGTGATGGGCTTTTTACATGGATACTGGGGATCTGAATTGGGTACTGGGTACTGGAGCTTGTATAGCAAGCACTTTACAGATGAAACCATCTCCCTAGGCCCCTAAAGGTGAAGCTCAAACAATGGCTTCAAATTTATCATCTTCCTGACTCACCCTCTATGGCATTCATCTCCGCTGTGTGTCATAACCACTGGCCATAGCCTGACACTCCCTGCCATTGTGTTGCTCCTTTGTATATTTCCAGTAATTAGTTAGGTCTTATCACCATTACTCATGTGATAAGAGACCCACACAGCTTCTTGGGACCCCATAACAAAGGTAGTGATGCCTCTCCTGGAGACCAACCATTACTTTTAACCACAGGACCCACCTAGCCATAACACAGACCATTCTTCTCCCTTTGGCAACAAGAAATAATGTCCAAATGTGCCAGCTGTGCCAGCATAACCCTTACCTGTAGGGTCAAAGATGGGAATTGGTCCTGATGTGTTTGCCCAGGATTTTGGCTCCTTGTTTGGATTTTTCTCAAACAGATTTCTGGATTTGGGTGCTGCATTCGAAGGCATTTTATCCTCCCCACTGACTAGAATAGAGAAGGCCCAGTGGTCTGAGTTAGGCAGAGTCAATTTTAGGAAGACAGAAGAGGTTGCATTGAGGAAGGTAGAAGAGGCAAGATGGCTAAGATTCGGGTCTAGAGATGAGACCATGGGTTAAGGGAATGAAGTTCCAAGGTAAACTCACTAGTGAGGTAGCAGTCGAGGCTGATGGAGACGTTGTCAAATGCCACTGTTGCCCTGGATCCTGGACCCCACCATGCTACTATCTGCAGCCAGAACCTGTATGGTGTTAAGAAGAATGTGTGTTAGAAACCTCTAGGGTAGGTGAAGTCCTAGGAGTCAGTTTCAGCTTATGTGTGCTGACCTATTTTGCCAAAATTTAGTGTGTTCAGCTTTATCTCATCCCAAAGCATCAGTAAGAGAGCAGGGCTTATTCTTTTTAAACTTCCCCTTCTCCACCACAGAGCATAACCCTTTCTGAAGGGGCGCTTCGTCACGACTATGGCAGATATGAGGCTTTTTTATTTATTTATTTATTTTATATTTTACATGTCGATCCCAGTTCCCTCTCCCTCCCTCCCTCCTTCCTTTCCTCCCTCCTTCTCTCTGCCCCCTCACATGCACTCTGACCACCCTCCCCTCCCATCCCCCACCCCAATTCCACATGTAGGGCAATGCCATACACGCAGGGACATGTAAATCTGTCAAGTCATTTGAAGTAGGGACTAGGGTTTCTCTCCTGCCTCTAGGTTAAGGCAGTTATCCCTCCATGGGGGATGTGTCCGCAAGGTCCTTTTGTGCACCAGGGGTACATCCTGGCTCCACTGTCTGAGGTCCCTTAAACTGCTCAGTCCTTCTGGCTGAGACCCATATTCAGGGGGGCCTGAGTCAGTCCCATGCTGGATTCCCAGCTATCAGTCTGGGGGCCTGTTAACTCCTCCTTCTTCAGGTCAGCTCTGTGTTTCTGCATCCTGGTCTTGTCCTCTCCCTCTGCATTTGGATTCTAGTTCGACTCAGTGTTTAGGTATGGGTGTTTGCTTCTGTTTCCAACAGGTACTAGATGAGGGCTCCATGATGGTGGATAAGTTAGTTGTTGATCTCACTATCCGGGAAGGGCATTTATGGTAGTCTTTCCACGGTTGCTCAAATTGTTAGTTGGTGGCAGTCTTGTAGGTCTCTAGACCTTTCTTTAGGTTCAGTTTTCTTTTCAAACCAATAATGGCTCCCTCTTTTATGTTCTCTCTCTCTCTCTCTCTCTCTCTCTCTCTTCTGTCTTCTATTCCTACCCAACTCAGTCTTCTTAGTCGCATGTGCTTTCCTCTCCTCCTTTCTCTTTCTCCTACTTCTCTCTCCATTCACTGCCCCCCCCCCCACTTCACCTGAGCTCTGGGAGACTTGTCCCTTCCCCCTTCTGTGAGGGACTTTATATGAATCTCTTAGAATACACCTTGTATCCTAGTTCCCCTGGTGATGTGAGGCTTTTAAAGCCAGTTTGGAGTTCTGCACTTGGGAGACATTTGCTTTCTGTGCATACATGGTGCACAGAAATGAGTGGGCTTGGTATCCTGCCCAGGCTCACCCATGGGTGGGCTGAAGGCACTATTTAAACATTAAAGTGCTTTTGTATGGTACTGACAGATGGAAAACCCCTCAGTGTCTGTTGCTTCAGGTAATTGGGCTCCTTCCATGGCTTGACCCTGTTAACCAGCAACCAAAGAGTTAATTTCTTGCACAACAGAGGTACTGAGCACCCTGGGTCTTGTCCAGCATTAGTTACTGTTTTCCAAATGGTGGTTAAATATTAGATGATTGACTGTTTCCCCTGGGAGTGCTTGTAATCAAGCCACAGTGGGTCATGAAGTCTGGACAGTAACTCATTGAGATTATGTTTCTTTCCAGTCATTTCATGGCTTAGAGTGCAAGGTCCTCTGACTACAGTCAGAGAAAACACAAGACTGAGATAAACAGAAAGATGTCATGGACTCATTTGCTTCCTAGTTTTTCTTGGGAAGTCTCCTTCCTAGAAGGCTACTAGCAGTCAACCACCTCCTTTTGAGATAAAGGGACCATGTCCTGAGAACCCTAAACACTTTCCCCAGATTTCAGAAAATTGATCCAGAATGACCTGATGAATAGAGTGCAGTCTCTGGTGTGGATGTTGAAATGGTAAGAGAGGGAAGCCATGGCTGTCAATCACTGAATGGATACAGCACATATGGTTATATAGCCGCACATCAGGATGCTAATCTACAATAAAAAAGAATGGACCAGAAGACATGCTGTAAAATAGATGCCTCTCAAAAGCATTATGCAAAGTTAAGGATGGCAGACAGTAAGTTAAAGACCTCACATTGAGTGATTCTCTGTATAGGAATCATCTAGAATAGACAAATGTGTAGAGACAGAGAGCAGATTAGTGGTTGCTTGGGGCTAGTGGTGGGACGATATTGACTGCTAACTAGCAAGAAGCCTCATTTTAGGTGATGGAAATGTTCTAAAACTGGGTTGTAGTATTCTTTGTAGAATTCTAGAAACTTGCTGAGAGTCATTGACTTGCACACTTAAAAACAGGTGAATGTTATGGCATGTAAATTATAGCTTTCCAAAGCTGTTGGGGAATAAGGAGGGAAACAGGAGAGATAGAGAAAGATGGAGGGGGATGAGAGAGAGACAGACAGGAGAGAGAAAGATCTGTTTATCTATTTATCTATCATCTATCAATCATCTATCAGTCATCTCTCTCTCTCTCTAGAGAGAGAGAGTGCAGGCTGATAATGTGGGTCAGGGTAGGTGGTAGACAAGAAATACTCTTTAGGAAGGTGTAAGAGGCACACAGTGAGAAGTGTGAGGTAAAGTTCTTTTGTTCCTTTAGAACTCAGCTCAAGAAAGGGATGAAGTTTCCCTGTATGTTCAACCTGGGCCACATGCAATCATGACCCAACACAAAATCATAAGCTTACTTACAACATTATGTAGAATTTTTTTTGTAACTTTATTGAGCTTTACTTTAGTGTGAACTTTGTAGATGACTGTTCTGCTCTGATGTGACAAGACTGAACATGCCTGGGTCATGAATTGCAGTCAGGTGGAAGCTCCCAGCAGGACTGAACACATAACCCTGGTCAACACTTAGAAGGGACAGATGATGGCTTAGTTCTTTCTTGCCAGAGGACCATTATTGCTCCACTGGAGAAGAGCCTTGGAATCAGATATGAACTTATATCTAAACAATGTATTTGTGACCAATTATTCAACTGCTCTAATCACCACATCTGTCTCTTCCATCATCTATCTTGTGGAATCTGGTAGCCCTTTCAGTGTAAAGGTCACAAGTAGAAAGCACAAATGCTTTGATTCTAAAGAAAAAATTACTGTTCAACGCCATTTTCAACTGCATGGAGAATTTGAGGCCAGCCTAGGCTACCTGAGTCCTTGTCTGAAACAAAACAAAACATCTCAAACAAAACAAAAATTATTATTAATAATAATGATAATAATAATTGTATTATTATAAAGCTACTTAAAGAATCTGATGACTAGTACAGGTGACTAGAAAGAACCATGTTCTTTGGTTGGGAATGTGAGATATCCTGCACTGTAGTGGGCATTGATCCCATAACAACCCACATTCTCATTCTTCTCCCTGGTTCATCCTCTATCCATTATCCATAGGCTGAGGGACCAGGCCACATGTTTTCAGTGCTAAGGTGCATCATCAGCACACCTCCTTGAAGGACTTCAGGTGGAAGGAAATGCATGTCTATCGAGCAAGGGAAGAGTCAAGATCTCCACTGTTCTCTCTATGGACCCTGGTGGAAAGCTCTAGGTCTTCTTACTTGCTCTGCTTTTTCTGCTTTCATTTTTCATGACTGGGAGATTAGAGCTGCAATGTTCCCTAACAGCCTCTTAGCATGGATGGGATGATGCAAGCTGGGACTGGAATGGTTTTTAAATACAAGAGTCTGTAAAGCATTCTGCAAGACAATGGCAATGGAAGTTGCTGTTTAAAAACATTTAGCCGACAGAGGGACTTGCCCATATTTTGTGTCAGAGGCACTCAGGACAGGCAGGGAAGACTCATTCAGGTGGCACCATGAACAAATGTGGGCCCACTCTAGGGCCAGAGACTTGGGTAAGGGACAGGTAGGACAAGTATAGATGAAGGTCAGATAGAGGCGAACAGTCATGGCAGGACAGTGGTGAAGTGGTGGCAATGTGGGAATGGGTCTGGAGTAGCAGGTCATGAGGTATAGGGTGTAGAATAGGGCTCATCCTAGGAGTGCAGCTTTTGTGAGGGAACTGGCCAAGAGACAAGGTGGACATTAGGTCAGTTGTGCTTTAGGGTTTTCTACCTTGGATACTGTCTGGTTGAGTGTCTTCAGAAGAACTGTAGAAGAGAGTCTTTGATAGCCTCTCCCAGATGGATATGGGCAAGATTTCCTTAGGGCTCTGAGTTTTTCCAATTCAATCACTCTTTTATGGTCAGCTTCTCAGAGACACAGATAGCAGGTCATGCTTCAGAGTGAGCTGTGGCCTCAGGCCTTAGGTTCTAGCACTTATGCTCATGTACTGGACTGGTAGGAAGTAAGGTGCATGGCATATTATTGCTAAGACTACAACAGACTAACAAACAGGTTACTCCCCTGCTCCAAAACCTTTACTCTTGATAGGGAGGGTAGTGCTGTTTTCAGAGCTAGAAGCTCCATCCCCCCACCTCTCAAGGGGGGCATCTGGCTAAGGAAAAGGTAGGGTAAGCTTTTGGGGGCTCCTCCTGCTCTCTGGGAGCCTGTCAGGTGAGCCTCCCCTGTCTTTGGTGTGTAGAATTGGCTTCCAGCCCGTAACCATCAATTTGCTTGGTTTTTTTCTGTTTCTCCAAAGTAGATTTGTGAATGCTGGAGTTGGTGCTGGTTTTCCTAATTTTTTTTTCTTTTTTCTTGTCTAAATCAGTCTTGCCTAGAGATCTTGGCTCAAACCTGCTTTTGTATAAGAACACATCCGCCTTTCCATCTTGTGCAAGCTTTATAGACAGTCCGCTGAAAATTAGTTCAGGGGGATTCTGGGAGGTGATAGTTTGGGCCACTTGCCAGGTTTCCAGGAAGGAGCTCTGGAAGTGGGTGCTTCCTGAACTCACCCAGCAGATCTATGTGGAGGCTATGTGGATGCTGCTCACGCACAGCCCCGAAAACACGCACTGTCTCATTCAGGCAACAGACTGTTAATGGGCAGTGAATATGAGGCCTTATTCACCATCCTCCCAGCCTTGGGGATTGACAAACCTA